AGATGAGATCAAGCAGGTAAACAAATAAGTCAAATTACTGTCAAAATGTTTATGATCTATGAGACGTCAAAGTGACATCTCACAGATCATAAACATTTTTTTCAGGTCCGTTTTAATGAATCTGTCAAAGCAGGGTCTATTTAGTTTTTGTTTAATTTACCTATCTATTCTATCTTGCGTTAACTATTAATATATCTATTCGACAGTGGAAATTTGAAATGTTGTTAGGAATATTTTGTCGTAATTTAAAAATGTTCCTTACTACAAAATGTCGCTTATGACATTTCAAAATTCGATACATTGACGAAATTATTAATTACCCTTCTATCGATGGTGGAAATTAAATGTCCTAAGAGACATTTTGTCGTAAGGTCGTTTTCCTCTATAAAAGGGCAGCCAAATGTTGTGTGCCTTTGAAACAGGATCATTAGGATAAATAATTGTTGTACAACAATCAGTTTTTATGAGTTTAGGTTGTTGTTTTCTAAAAAAAAGTTGTGAATATAATTTTGCTCACAATTAAAGCACAATTTAAAAAAAATTAAGCATTTTTTACTTTCCAAATATCAACAAATACTGCCTCTGTGGCCGAATGGTTACGATGCCAGTCTGTCACGCAGTGGTGCCGAGTTCGATTCTTGGGCTGGGAGAAAGGTTTGTATGATCTATATTTATTTCTCTCCTGAGTTTGGGTGTAATACGAGGTTGTTTATGTATGTGTCCATGGCACCCGCGAAACAGGGTTTCCCTAGTGCGGTGTAATTAGTGCGTTTGTTATTAATTTTTAATATTATATATATTTGGTAATAGCAACACCTCTGTTTACATTTATGATCTCGATTTCTATTGCCGAATATAGATGTGGTCTAGCCTCAGAACTTTACTATACGTCATCGTATATAAGTATGATGTGTAACCATTTAATAATGTTTCACTTGTTACAAAATACATCAACAAGATAGCAACATATGTAACTGGCAACTACGCCTATATAACAAGAACGTATTCGTATAAAAATAATACCACCACCTCCCCTGTCGTCAATTTTGTCACACAAATGGCACGGTATAATCACTTATTGATAGTAAAGCAACAGTAAGTATTACAGAGGAACACGCAAATTTTGTTTATTATCCGCTGTTAAAATTGAATGTTGGATATTAAACTAATATTTGTTTTTTTTACTGCGGGCGTTGTAATAAAAATGGCTGTAAAAATTTACAGGGTTTTGGTACATTTTAGGTTTAGAAAATGAGGCATAAACAGCTTTTGACAGTAATGTAACTGATTTTATGCTAAACCAAACCAAATCCAAGCAAAATACTACAAAGCTATTATCAACCAATAGCGGCTATTATCAAGGTTTTTCATATAAATGGCTTATTTTGCCAGAATTCTATATTATTTTATCTAATAAAAAAGTGATTTAAATGTATCTTTTTTTAAGTTATTGAATGTCACAACGTTTGAACTTCATGATATTAAATTATTTTTGTGAAATTACCCCCATACTTTGTTTTAATTATTAATACAAAGATCTAAAACTTAGAAAAAATTCCATCGATCCTGGATTTCGAATACAATGCATCTTTTTATGTAATTACTCTCAAAAAAATTTAAAAAATCCGAAAAACCCTTATATCAGCTTTCCTCAAAATGCTGTTTTTGATATTAGTGTTTTGGTTGATCAAATATATATCAATAGATACTGAGTGAAGGTACGAAGAATTCGTGCACCAGGTGGTAAGCGACACCCTATCCGTGACAGTTGCAGTGCCACTCAGAGCTTTAAATCATAAAGATCTGATAGGCACTGCCACTACTGCACTGCACTGCTTGAAATATAAGTTGACAAGTCCCATGTGCCTGTATTTTTACCAGCACCCTTACCCTTCAAAACCGAAACGCAGTTATGCTCACAGTGGCAGAAATAGGTAAGGTACTTCCCTGGACGAACTCTTCCACAGAGAGCTCTATTGCTACTAAAAACTATGAAATATCATTTTTTATGCAGATGTTCAACTGTAGTGAAGCCGTTTTTTGTTAACTGGAAAGACGTCGTTTTTCGGCGTCGGGAAGTGAGCGTGGCTTGCAGCTCCGCCACAAATGAGATTTGGTAGTGGACTCAGAGTCGACGGCTTAGCGGTGGCAACCGCTAGTTGTGCAATGCGCAACGGGAAGTGACGGGTACGTTACGTGCATCCGGTGCGGCTCACCCGAGGCACTAGACTCTCGAAGAACCGGATGAAGACAAGTGACAGAGGTCTGTGACAACCCTGTACACTGGCTGATTTGGGTTCACCTGAACTTGAACTTGTAAGGTTTCTCTGCGGGCACAGGTCATAGTGCCCTTCCCGCGGAACCAAGAGGTTTATGGGGAGGGGCACAAAACAAAACTTACGTAGAATGATATGGGAGTGTACTGAAGCCGTGGTAGCCAAATGGTTTGACCTACTGCCTCTCAAGCAGAGGGTCGTGGGTTCTAATCCGGGCTCGTATCTCTGAGATTCTCGGAATTTATGTGCGAAATTTACCATGAGCTTTTCGGCGAAGCAAAACCTACTGATGAAATCTGCACGTTGGAGAGAATTTACAACCCTCGGAAGACGCGTGAAGTTCCCGACCCGCATCGGGCCAGCGTGGCGGACTATGGCCTAAACCCTCGCCCGAGAGGAGATTTGTGCCCAGCAGTGCCACTTATAAATATTTTTATTTTATTTTATTTGCGTGTGATGGAAAGCAACACGCCGTGCAACTCATAGCCTTAAATCGCAAAACTAACTTGCAGATTAAACTAGTAAAAGTATGATATGCATAGTAATTTCCTAGGTAGTTTTAGTATGTCACATGGATCGTCAGTGATAGAATAAATGACTGCCAGCCCACTAACTCTTTATAGAGATTTACCATTGCAACGAAAATATCTGATATCCCATGTGCTTGTAATTTTACCGTTGATGATGGTTATGTGTTTACTAATAATATTGATACCGTGTAATTTCTCAGCAGGGGGCGCAACCTAATTTGATGGCACTACACTAGGAATAGCATCAGTGTGGGGGGCATTATTATTTTATTGCTACCACAGATAATGATGTTTTTTCTGTAGTAACAAATATTTTTTTATTGGACGATGTATTGGCTACGGGGGAGTGTACTTATGGGCATCAAACTACGTTAGGAGGAAAAATTGGATAAGGCAACGGGAGGTCGGGACTGAACGAATAAGGACAGCTTAGAGAGAAATTATCGTCACAAATACTCATTCATTTATATTAATTTATACATGAACTCATGTCACGTCCCACTACTTGCCACGAGTTGTTTCTAAGCTGAGGATTTTAGCTATAGTTCACTTATTTTGGTAGCAATAGAGCACCTTGTGAAAGAGCTCGTCTAGGGAAGTACGTTATCCATTTCTGCTAAGCAGTACTACTAGCATTACTGTGTTCCGGTTTTGCAGGGTGAAATTTCAGCCACATTGTACTAATCAACTTATGTCTCAGGGTGTCGGGCACAGTGGCAGTGCCCTTCATATCTTTGCGATTTAAAGCTCGTGAGTGGCACTGCAACTGTTATGGACAGGCGTGTAGCTTACCATCAGGCGCACGACTTGTTCGTCCCGTCACTTGACGTCATAAAAAAAACCTATTTTTCAAGGATTATAAACTTTCATCGACCTGGGTCCCAATGGTATTAATTTTCTTGAAGCCATTGGTCACTGTAATTCTTTCGAGACCCCACTGGGATTGCAATTATGACAGTATTTGTTATTCCGTTAAAATTTAGTTGCAATGGCATATCTCAATAGAGAGTCAGTGGACTGGCTTCATGTATTCAATCAGTGACGATCCATGTGACATACTAAAACTATGTTGTTTAATATGCAAGTTAGTTTTCAAATTAAATATTAACGCTTCTGCAACTGCCTCCGCCGAACGGTTACCATGTCGAACTGCCACGCAGAGGTTCCAGGTGCGATTACCGGGCCGGGAGAAATATTTGTATGGTTTATATTTATTTCTCTCATGAGTTTGAGTGTAATTTGTGGTTTCCCTAGTGCGGGGCTATGTTGAGTGTGTGTGTGTGTGTGCGAAAAAAAAGAAAATTAGTAATTAGTGTTTTATTGTATAGTGTGTGTATTAGTGTATAGGGTATGTATGTAGTATGGGTATTTGTAACCTGAATCTAAATAAATAAAAACATGACGACGAAAAAGAATTAGAGATCGAGTTAAAATTTCAAAAGTAAGCGGCCAGGATCCAGGGAAAAGGATGATCAAAAGGAGGGATGACGATGATAGAGGTCGCATTGTCACACCCGTGCCCGACAGCGGGACGTATAAGCCGGTCGATGATGATGAATGTTCGATCTTGGTATCAATAATAATGTTTATTGAAATCTTACATTGTGTTTAAGTGCTTTATTGAATGTCAGGATGTTACACAACCCTAATATTCAATTATTCATTGTGAAATTACTCCACTAGTTTATAATTATTAATACAAAGATCGAACACGCAGAAAAAAATTCCTTCGATCCGGCCGGATTCCAACCGACGTCTTCTAGCAAACAGTGCCTATGTCAACTAAGCTACGAAACGAACCAGCGGACCTCACAAATTTTTCAATGTACTTGCTTGTCGGATCTTTGTATCTGGCTTATAACGACTTTTTAGCCGTAGCGCCATCTATGAGAAATCTATGAAAGTATTTCATCACCCAGTTAGGTACCTTTACAGATACCTGCCCGTTGCATTGTGTTGCATCCACTCGTCGCAATACATAAGTTCATTTACTATAGTAATTAAAGTAATTGACTCAATGTTATGCGTAAAATAATTTGACCATTAATATTAAGTTTACTTTACGTCGTTTATGCTAATAAGTAGTGCTATGCTAATTAGCAGACTATACCATCGACTCGCCACTGAAGAGCTGAATATCAAAATATTGCAATGGCAGTTGAATAGTAGACAGAAAAAAACAAAAGTTACTTACATAAAACACTTAGTTGTACAGTACTCCTCATGGGCGTATCCCTTTGCAAGGCCTCATGTCTTGCTTCACAGGTGAAGTCAGCATAATCGTCCTCTGAGGACGCCTTAAAGTGGAGCCTGGGGACAAATAAAAACGTTCAGAAAGTGAATTATATTTTCAGCTTAGTGAATTCACATTTATCTCTAACACGGCTTATTAAACATAATAGAGAATCGAATGAAGATGTTTGGGAACCTTCGCTACGGCACTACGGTTTTCTTAGAAGGAAAGATGGAAGGAAAAAGAGGTACAGGAAGACCAAGACAAAGTAATTTAAATCAGATATTGAAAAAAGTTGATATCGTATCGTATTTATTTGTTTATTTATCAGATCAGAGACAAACAGTTACATACTAAACAAACATCAAACACTGAACAAACAAGATTAAATAAAGAGCCAATAACGTGTTCACATATACATAAGTACACATACATACATATACATAACAATACATTATATTGGTTACAATAATAATTGTTAATACCATAGTAATCAGAAGGAAGCACATGTTGTGCTGACCCCATCTAGGGTGGGATAAGGACAGGAAGAAGAAGAAGACGAAGAAGAAGTAATCAGAAGAAGCCACTATTATGCCTGCACATAGGAGTACTAAATATATCCACGTTCTGTATAAGTACCAGATACACCAAAGGAGCCGAGCGATTGACTAATCCTCTTTCACCAGATGGTAACCATTACAGTATATGCCATCGATACGACAAGAAGAAGAATCAGGAAATCAAAGTTATGACGCTGAGCAGAGATGGTTGGCGATTACTCCACAGGCAAGAAAACTCTTAAATAAGATAGTAAACCATATTGACCATATCATTCATCAGTTCTTGAACTGACTCTGCTGATAGTGCCAGCGCCCGTTGAACTCTATCAGAATAAAAATTCCAAGTAGCGTCTTTGAAGTCATGGAAGGGGAATAAATCTAAAATAGATAACAATGTGCCAGGCAATCAAACCTGATCTCGAACTCAGAAATTCCCTTTACCAGACTAACGAAATTGCTCCAAGGACATATTAGAACGTGTGAAAAAGTTCGACTAGGGAAGTACTGCCTTATCTATTTCTGCCGCCAAATGTACTGTGACGCTAAAGTAAGAATGTTAATTTCTTTAAAGTTTTCTCTGATTGGAGTCAACGGAATATTAACCTCTTGCCGCTAGAATCCTGATTAATTTCCTCAGTATACGCTCGTTTATTCCTGGTACGTTAGACCTGTTTTTTTTTAAGGACATCGTCCGCCTCTGTCGGTCTCTCACAGCTGAGGATCGTGACTTTGAGCGAGTACATCGTCAATCAATCTTCTCCACAGTATTCTGTCTTCGGCTAGGTGGAGTGCGACCTTAACCGTCACTCCCAGATTATCAGCTACCTGGTCACACTATCGTTTTGAACTTCGCCACCTTCGTTGCTCTCTATTTTGTTCAAGACAATTAGTCTTTGAAGACTGTGAGCGCTTCTGCGTGTAACGTGGCCAAGGAATTGTAGAATGCTGAGAATAGAGATATGTAGGTACTGTTTCCTCCTCCACGTTCACTACGTACGTACGTATAAATTTGTTTCGATATACTACTAATAGCCATCTTTTCCATTTGACCAAACCATCAAAGCGTTGCCTTTTCTGTCCTAGTCACTATATTCTTTTCTATAGGACCCATATCAGATTTGTAAAAAGATTTTACAAAGGAGAACAACCAAATTCCTTACAAAGGAATTCTGAGCCCGGCGCAAAAGTAATATATCTTAGATTTGCGAGTAAACATGGTTTCTAAATTTACGTCATCACTGAATTTCGATAGAGGATTTGATTCAGAATCACGTAAAAATCTATTTTTGAAAAATTGATTTTTATTGAATTTGATGATGTGAAATTGAAATAATGTGAAATTATTCCTAGCGGAGTTTTTTATAATTATTAATACAAAGAGCTAACCCAAAGAAACAATCCCTTTAACCGACAGGACTTGAATCTGCGACCACGCTGTATCCATAACGTCACTCTACCAACTGAGCTACAGTAGGGCTAGCACAATAGGCCACGACTTGCGCGACAGCGACATAAAGCGCGAGATACTGCTATTCTCGTATAGAGATTATGTCGCTCTCGCGTAAGTCGCGCCCTGTCGTGCACGCTCTTCAGGTCTGTTATCTTTGTATTGAGTTTTTTGTTGAATTACGTCGACCTGCTGATTGGACATGTATTCTTTTTAAGTTTTCAGCCACTTATTTGGATAGGCAGTCTACCATTCAGAATCTCTCAACATTCAGGAACAGGCAACAAGCGCCCATCCTAACATAAATTTTAAAGGAAATCCTTTGTAATGATTGTGACCATTTCATAGCACGAATTTTTTTATCGGCCTATTTTCAACATGTACAGGGTCAAGTGTACTTCCAGTTTGACGTATCCCAATTCTATGTTGCTTACGATAATCTCCAGTATGACGGCACAAGGCATGAAGTGCTCTTGGATTTACCCCTAAGAAAAATCTCCAGTAAACGTTAAAAAATCTGGAAGGTTTGTTTGACAACCCAATAACGATACGAGAAAATAGTTTTATATCTAATATGTAGCCATCGCGAAGACCTAAAAACTAGATAATTCAATCAAATGTAACGATAACAGTTTTAAATATTTAGCTCCAAAGTCCGGTGTTAGGTATGTCGCTTGAGAGGTCACTCAGATCTGGAGATGCATTTTATTGGCATCAGCTCTCCTGTATTATCGGTAACTTGAAAGATATCTCAAGTGTATAAGTTCTTTATGAATCAAATACAGATTGTATTTGATTCATAAAGAACTTCATAACGATGTTGAATATTTGTTTAGGTTCTGAATGAAACATAATACTTTCAAACGGTAATTTTAAAAACTATCAAATAACACGTTATCAATGAACAATCTTTGACATGCCCTAAATTGTTATTTATTAACGGTTGACATAAATAAGGTCTCAGAAATAAGGGCCTAAGACTCTCGTACTGTCAGACACATTACTTTTGAACGAGGCCTGGGTTCTGAACATTCCCCTTTTCATACAAAACGCAATTTAGATAATCGAATTATTTGCTATACATGTTTGATCAGGCGCGTCGTGGTTGACGTATTCATTGTCATAAAAACAATACGGAATCAAGTACTTATGCTTCGCGAAAAGTCAGACTTTTCTGACTTTCCGCCACCTTCGTCACAGAGAACACAATTAAAGCATTAAAGGCGCGAGCGAAAAGTGTGCGGTGATATAAATTATGCATTACTGCAGATTTTTCCGGATTATACCAGATTAACAAATGACAGCCGAGAACGGGTAACAATTATATGCAAAAATTTATACACGTTTTGGTATTTTGAATTCTTTACCTCGTTCCGTATTTCCCTAACAACCAGGGTCTGGCAATCTAATTTGAAAGTCAACCTGACTTTCGAAATGAAGTGTCGAATTCCAACCATTCCAAAACCCATTGAACATGACACACAATTCCTCAAATCATGGTTTTCAAAAATAATATATAGAATTTCACAACATCCATGACCATGCGGAAAATGGACCCAAAACATCAAATTATGATGCCGATATTTGAGCTAACATCAGAGATATTAATGGTTAAAGTTATTGGCCGGGACAGGCTCCATCTCTTTTTAGCTTAACAGCCTTTTCGTATGTGCCTTGTATGGCGCTATTAAGGCATGTGGCAAATAAATATAGTCGATTCTAACTTCAGATTTACTTGATTGACGACTTCCGAGGTCGAGTGGCCTGCACATGTTTTCAAGCTGTCGCCATCTATGAGGTCCCGGTTCGATTCCCAGCCGGGTTAATGTAGAAAAAACTAGCTTTTCTATATTTTCTCGCGTGTTTATAAGTGCTTTAGTTCCTTACTTTGAGATCAGAGCAACGTATGGAATGTTATCTAATATTTATGAATGTAAGTATGAATATTTCTATGAATATTTGTTTTCGACGTAAAAAGAGGCGTTCCGTCGCCGCGCAACGTTTTAACGGATCTTGTGGTATGTATGTAGTTTTAATTTAAGTCTAGTAAAGACTGCATCATATCCAGCTACACATTGACGGACCTTGTTCCGTTGCACAGGAGGCGATATTCGAGCAAAAGTGTATAGCTTGTTGTGACGTTGCGTGTACAACGCATCGTGTGGCATCGCTCTTATGCTCTTAAGAGACACGTGTTCTGCAATGGAATAATTGAGATAAGCTTTTAACGTTTTTCTTCACTTAAGGGAACAAGTTAAAATATAATTTATTATCTTAAAAGTTGGTAGTACTTATTTTTTAATTTTAACGATGTCAAGTTGGCAACGTGCCTGCCACTTGAACCGGATTTCCAGAACGACCTCGGATTGAGACTTCCATTGTGGTGTGCCAAAATTAACAAAAAAATATGTAATTTATTAATGGGAAAGTTTAACGAAGTACACTATGAAATTTACTTAGTAACAAATAGAATATAATCACATATTTGTTTATAATATCAAGTGACGGGACGAACATGTCGTGGGGCTGGACTCCAAATATGGTAATTTTATTGAAACCGCTGGTCATTCCTTAATGGAGACTCCACTGAGACGAATTAGGTATTGCAATTAAGATTATACTTGTTATTCTGATAAATCTAGTTGCAATGGCATGTGAAACTCAATAGACTGTCACTGGAACGGCAGTGATGTCATTCATTCATTCATTCACTAACAATCGATATCACCATATTAAACCAACCACGGCAATCACTACACATGTCTTAATTATCATTTCATTCAATCAGCAATTCAATCTTCGAATTAAATGTATATTTTTTATGTCAAACAATTGGTAGACAACGCTCGACTTTAACCATAACACAAATTTGTATCTGAATAATGGGAAAATAGAGATGAATATGCTATAGGCGAAAAATATGACGCGTCGCAAAGCTTCGACTCTGCGCCAGCCTGTTGAGTAGAGCCTACGAGTGACACTGAAGAGCAAAATATCAAAAAACGCAATGACAGTTAAAAAGTATCTCGATGGCTCGCTACTAACACACCATTATTTTTAACTTTTAGTA